TTCCATGTTCTTTTTATTGGGTGCCATCAAGTTGATTTTTGACTCACAGCAACATGTGACAAGAGTAGAAATGTTCCATAGGGTTTTCTAGGCTTTAATGTTTACAGAAGCCCCTTCTCCTGCAAAGCCACTGGGTGGATTCAAACCACCATCCTTTTAGTTACCAGCTAAGCACTTAACCATTGTCCCACCAAAAACAAACCTGTTGGTCTCAAGTCAGTTCCAACTCAATGACCCTAAGGGCAAAGTAGAACTGCCCCACAGGGTTTCCAAGGTTGTAATCATTATGGAAGCAGACTGCCACATCCTTCTTTACAGAGTAGCTGGCACTTAACCACTGTGCCACCAGGACTCCTTAATTGCTTCATTACAAGTTGCTAACTGATTGGAAGTCTTGGCAGAGCTCCTATTTGCCTACTGAAGAAAATCACTGATCTCTTCATCTGATGCTCAAGGAATCACTTCTCACCTAGAACTTTGCTCTCCTTTGTGTAGCATGCCTAGCTGTGCATTGTCCTGCATGCATCTTGGACTGTTCCAGGGTACATGAGCTGACCTATGCATACCTTCTCCACTGCAACATGAGTCAGATTACTCTGGTGGCTGTCATTCTTTCGCTCAACACACATGTCCTACCACTGTGCCTTTGGTAGCAGCTGTGCCCCGGGACTTTGTCAGTTATTTCACTCTGCCAGCCCTGGGCTCTGCTCTCTGGAGGGGCAGCAGCCTTAAGACAGGGAGCGGGAAGAGGGGAAGGTGGGGAAATGGTGCCGTTTCTTATCCTGTCTTGTCCAACTTTTCTTTTTCTCTCCCTCTTCCCACCTCAATAATAATTTCTCTTCCAGCTTTTCTGGCCTGTGTTCTCTTTTCTAGTCTATCTGTTGTTGTCAGCTGCTGTTAAGTCAGCCCCTGATTCATGGCGACTCCATGCACAGAACCTTTGAATCATTGGGATTTGTGGGGTTTTCGTTGGCTGATTTTTGGGGGACCTAGATTGCAAGGCCTTTCTTCCTAGTCTGTCTTAGTCTGGAAGTTCCACTGAAACCCATTCAGCATCAGAGCAACACGCAAGCCTTGTTTAGCAGACAGGTGATGGCTGCATGTGAGGGCCATAGGCCAGGCATGGAACCCAGGTCTCCCATGTGGAAGGTGAGACTGAACTACCACGGCCTCCTAACCTGCTTCATAGTCCTAAGTCTTCCTTTTCCTACTGGAGTTCTCAACACATTTTAAACACACACGTTCTTGCATCACGATCTTGTCATGCTAAAGCCCTGCTTCTTTTTGCTGTGGAAGCTATGTTTTTAACATCTCAAAATGAAACGGTTCCTTTTCTCTTATTTTTATACCAGCAACTACATGCTACATGTCACCAAAACTGATGTATCTACTACCTAGCATGGAGTGTCATGGGTGTCCAGATCTGTGTGGGATTGAATTAGCTCTGGGCCAGGCCAGTTCTTATCCTCTGCTGTGCAGAGCATTGATGCAATCGTATCCATAGTAAATACTCCCTCTCTTGCCTGTAATATGTTATTACCAGGTAGGAACAAGTAAATAGACAGCAAGGGGCATAATTAAATATGTTTTGGTATGTAAGCTGTTAAAAGTAATGTTCTTGAGCAATATTTAGCTTCATGGGAAAATGCTTGCAGGGTAAAGTTAAGCGAAAAGACAGGTTATGAATTTCTCAAGGAGATTATTATAAAGTAAACGTGCTGAAAAAAGGCACAAATGAAATAAAATGACAGTGGGTACTTCTCACTTTTGCAGTTATGGGAGGATTTTGTTATCTACGAGAAAATATAGTACAATGAATATGTTTTACATATGAAGCTCTGGTGGCACAGCAGGTAAGGCATATTTGGCTGCTAACCAGAAGGCTGGCAGTTCAAACCCTCAGATGCTCAGTGGAAGAAGATGAAGCAGTCTACTTTCATAAACCCAATGAGGTTGTTATGGGTTGGAATCAACTTGGTTGCATCGGGTTAATATATAATCAGAGAAAGGGAGATATTTAGAAATAACTAACTCTCCACAAGGCACTCTGTAAATAACTCCCATTTTATCAAGTTCCTCTTTGTTTGACCTCCTTGGGCTTTTGGTTCAGTTGGCCTATTACTCAGAATTTGGAGGACAAAATAAAAGAGTCATGGAAAGGCAGGTGCCCTTGATGGCATTGTATCCTTCATGAGTAAGAGGCTGCAGAGCACAGGGTTGATGGGTTGGCTCTGGATTTGGATCCTGCTACCCCTTGCGAGTAGTAGGATCTTGGACACAAGGTTTTCAACTGCTTGGTGCCTTTGTTTCCTAAACTTGAAAGGGGAGCTCTGGTAGCGTAGTGTCTAAGGCACTTGACTGCTAACCAGAAGGCTGTCAGTTCAAATCCACGAGCCACTCCTCAGAAGGAAGGTTGGGCAAAAGTAACTGTTGAATGAATGAATGGTATCGATCCAATTTAAAATGTACAAAGTGCACAGTAAATGAAATAAAGTGTAGGTCAGAAGGGATATCTCCACCCACCCACCCCAGGAGCTTCCATAGTGAGTACTGATCCTGATTTGTGATAGCCCTTTGTACCCAATTTGTATTTGTTTATGGCACTCAGAATGTTAAAAGTAACCGAAAAGTGTCTCTATAATAATTAGAATTGGCCGCCAAGAAACCCAAATGGGACAACTTCAAAAAGAAGAAGAAAGAGCTGAAGCAGAGCAGACAACTCAGTGACAAAACCAACTATGACATCGTTGTCCGGGCGAAGCAGATGTGGGAGATCTTAAGAAGGTACAGCTGCCTGATGGCACCTTTGTTGGTCCCTCAGAGATGAAGAAGCATCAGAGTGCCCTGTTAACAGCAAGCCTGAAATATAGGACATAGCCTGTGGGTTGTTTAGGGAGAACATCTAACACCCTGGTGAGGCATTAGTATTTGAATACCTCCCCGTCACAGAAATGTATGGATCATCACTAGGACAGTGTTAGATCTGTTCATGAAAATGTATGACAGTCAAATGGTTTGGACATCCTCCCTGCAGGACTTTTGAGAAAATGAAAGATTGTTTCTTACCAGTGAGGCCTTGAGATACTTGTTAAGTATTTCATATCTTCAAGTTGGAGTATTATTATCTTCATTTCTGAAGTTCTGGCTGTTAAGATTTAGCTTGATACATAAAACTTTACCTTCTGAGATGAGGTTCTGCCTTTGAGAAAATTACTTTTCTCTGGCTGCTCAGTTTTAATATTAGGGGTTTGCTGCCTGTAGGGAGACAAATCACAGTGAACTGAGTGAATGCGTATTAGCGTGGTTCTTAGTGTCACGTGTTTAAAATAACTACTTCAGCTAGATTTCCTCCCTCATTTATAGAAAAGACTGCGACAAAGAAAAAAGAGTGAAGTTGATGAATGATTTGCAGAAGTTGATTCAAGGGAAAATTAAAACTGTAAGTACGGTGTACACATAGCTGCAATTTTAAGCAGTTGACATTGACTCACTGTGATCATTTATGGCAGGTGAACTGTGCGTCTTTCCAAATGTATGGTGGCAAAAAATTTCAGATGCCACTGATCACACTGACTAAATAAAAATTCACAGTGAGAGGAACCTGCTGCTGGGCAGTTGTGAGAACGCTCATGTCTGGCTGTGCCGGTTGTTAGTAATTTCCTGAAGTCCATTGCTTTCAAAGTTCTCTTGAGGGATTTAATAGTATATGTGGGAATGACTTGCTCAGAGCTGGAAGTAATTTAGCATGTTCATTTGTCTTTGCTTTTACAACCGTCCTCCGAAGATGTTTAAGTAAAATAGAATAGCTGTGGGAGTTACAGATTCATTCTCCTTGTTGCTTAATCCTGTTTGTCATAAACTTCCATGGCTCTTCCATTGCCACTTAGTGGACACAACTTAAAAAAACAGGGTCCAGCAGCTTTGGGGCCCTGGAGGTGCCTATTTTAGCAGACCACGTGCATAACCTATTGCCACCTACTAATCAATTCAGACTCCTAGCTACCCTTCAGGACAGAGTAGAACCACTCCATAGGGTTTCCTAGGCTGTCGTCTTTGATACATAAAAGCAGATTGTCACATCTTTCTCCCATGGAGCAGGTAGCAGGTTCGAACGACCAACCTTTTGGTTAGCAGCCAAGTTCTTAACCATGTGCATAGGTCTAACCAAGTCCTGTGTTGCAATTTGAATAATTGTTTTGAAATAGCAAGTTTCAGCTACTGCTTTCTTACCAATCCAAGCAAGATCATTGTATGGCAGAACTGGCACTCAGATCTGGTGGCCATCTGTCATTCTCAGTTTATAAGTCTTCACATTTAAAATCCTTTTCTGTTGACCTTTTGGTTATTGTTGGAGGACCACAGACTTACCCAGGACTTCACATCCTGGCTCCGTTGTTTAAAATGTGGGATGCTTTGAGCAGTAATAAGGAGCTCTGGTGGCACAGTGGTTAAACACTCAACTACTAACCAGAAGGTCAGCAGGTCAATCCCACCAGCCACTCCACAGGAGAAAGATGAGGCAGTCTGCTTCCATACAGATTTACAGCCTTGGAAACCCTATTGGGCAGTTCATCCCTGTCTTATAGGGGCACTATGAGTTGGAATCAACTTGACGGCATTGGATTTGGTTTTGGTTTTGAGCAATAATAACAAACTATTAATCAGTTGTTTACTGTGTGCTAGGTATTGTGCTAACCCACAAGCACGTTGTCTGATTTCACTTACGTCATTTTCCCAGTTGTACTCTTGAGACATCTGGAGCTCAGAGAGGTTAAGTTTCTTGCCAGGGCCACAGGGGTGGCAAGTTCTTTAACTTCTCAGCACCTTGCTTTTCTCATCTGTTACAGGGGAATACCAGCATCTCACTCTTAGGTTGCTTGGAGGTCAAAATGAGAAAATACGATTAAAGTCATTCTGTTTATATAGTAGGCACTCGTTTGTGCACATGATTCTCAGGGTTTTTTTTAGGAAAGGTAACCTAACTTGAAGCATAGAGAAAGACCAAGAACAAAAATTCAACAAAATAAATGATTATATCTGTTTCTCAAAAACAGACTTCTGTTTCAAAAACTTTTTCTCAAAAGATCTACGTAAGCAAATCTTCCTTTACGAAATTCTGCTGCTAGAATGAATGTAGCTTCACCTTTTTACTTGTTATCATTAAAATGTTTAAAAACAGAGTGAGCAACAAATATACTTTTGAGATAGACTGGCACTGTAACATAATAAGGATAATTTTGTGCAGTTTATTACCTGTGGCTTTTGCAAGGAATATGGGGTGATCTACTTCTGTACAGATTTACAGTTTCAGAAAACCCAGTGGAAGTCATTATGAGTTGGAATCAACTTGATGGCAGTGAGTTTGGTTTTGAGTTTTATTGCTATAGAAAATTGATCATCAAGGCCTCAAATGAGGGTCTAATCCATTCTAATACTTGTAGGGCAGAGGGGATGGGTGGGAGACTCAGGTTTGGAATATAGTAACTTCTAGGAATACAGTGGATATGTGAGTGGGGTTATATTGAAAATGTGAGAAGTGAAGTATTGAGGAAGTAGTTGCCAGTCTGTATGTGTGGATAGATTTGATTGATTGGTTTTTATTTTATAACAGTCCCTGGGTGGCACACACACACTGTTAAGTGCTGGACCACTAGCTAAAAGGTTGGCAGCTTGCACCCCTAGAAGTGTCTCGGAAGACAAGCCTGGTGATCTGCTTCTGCAAGGTCACAGCCTTAAAACCCCAGTGGAGCGCTTCTCCTCTGCACACACAGGGTCGCCACAAGGCAGAGTCAATGTGGCAGCAACTAACAGCATCTCTATACCCATGGTTGCTAAAGCCAAACATTAGATTATATATATAAAAATTCTAGAACAGTAGTAGTCTTGAACTTTGAAACTTTCCCTTTTTGGGGAGGATTATAACTTTCAGAGAAATGCAGTGCATGTGGTCACTAGATAGTTTGGGTTTGGTTTGGTTTTAAAATAAGTCTTCATGTTCTAAGAGCTCTAGATTGTGTTTTATCCAGGAAGGCCCAGCTTTCTTTCAAACGGGGAGTTCTAGAAGTAGCAGTAAAACAAGAAGGGAAGGTACAATCTCAGAGAGAATCTGTCTCCAGGCCCATACTGTTTTCCCCGCAGATTGCCTTTGCCCATGACTCCACCCGTGTGATCCAGTGCTACATTCAGTATGGGAGTGAAGAGCAGAGGAGAGAGGCTTTTGAAGAATTGCGAGGTACTCGATGTGTACTGAAATTGAAGGTTATTGGAATCATTTGTCATTGGTCCCTTGCTTTCCTTTGAAATACCCCAGACACTCGTAGAACATGCTTCTGCTGAGCTACAGCAGTGTGTTCTCACTTGCTCTCTGCGTGGTGCGAGGAGAGCTGGCAGTTATGTATGGTCCTGTATTCTGCTAAGATGCAGCACTTCCATTTGTTTGGGAGGATTGTGACGAGAATGCCAGCTCACCCTGCTTTATTGTTTCAGATCATTTGGTTGAACTGAGTAAAGCCAAGTATTCCAGAAATGTTGTTAAGAAATTTCTCATGTATGGGTAAGTTGGATTTTTTGGGTTTTGTTTTTGTTCCTTAGCTTTTTAAAGGAGCAGGTATAGATGGTGTGCTAATAGGACTTAGAAAGCCTGGTGTGCTAATAGGACTTAGAAAGCCTGGTGTCAGAGTAGTAGTCCTAAGCAAACGTTTGTAACATTTGCAGGGAGTGTAGTCTGAATAACAGTTTTGAAGTCAGTGTAGAACGATGGTACTGCCTTTACCGTTCATAAGGGTGTATTTGTAATCTTGAAGCTGTGGAGGAAGAGAATTTAGATAATTTGTAACTTCCAGTATTTAGAGGGTGGCGGACAGTGCAGGGGAGGGACAGATGAGTAGCCTCAGCTAGTAGTGTAAATGGGTTGGGAAGGGTCAGGATTGTGCATTCTCTAAATTAGGTAATACTGATACTTGTTTTGAGTGTAATAACATGCAAGAATATGATAACCAGCCTGCCAAAAACAAATGACAGTATGCACAGTTGACAAAATTTTCAGAAAACATATTCCTGCATAAGCTGCTTGGTTATTTTAAAATATAATATAAACACTCCTGTTGACTCCTTTTAAAAGAAAATTTTTAAAACGTACTCATATTTTCCTGTGTCATTGATAATTTTTTCCCCTTCTTTTTTCTTACTCGTTTCAACCTGAACAATTTAATAATAAACCATTCAGAGTCGACTCTGACTTGTGGCACCCCCAGGTGTGTCAGAGTAGAATTGTGCTCCCAAGGGTTTTCAGTGGCTGGTGTTTGGGAAGCAGGTAGCCAGGCCTTTCTTCGGAGGCATCCCCCAAGACTTCAGATTTGCTAATAGCAGCTGATGTTTGCTGAGCACTTGCTGCGTGCCAGACACTGGTCTCAGTGCAGTGACACCCTCATGACCACTTTATTCTCTCTAGTTGATGAGTAGAGACAGAGGCGCAGTGCAGTAGCTTGCTGCAGGCCTTTCACCTGGGAGCAGAGCCAGGTGCAAACCTCGGCAGCCTGGACGCCAGGAGATTTGACAGCTCAAGGTGCAATTACAAGGCAATTGGAATTGTCTGCTTATAAGCATGGTCTTGTGGGCACCTTCCCACAGTTCGCAAACTAGCCGCAGAAGTCAGTTACTTGTGTTGCTGCCCCACAAGTTTCTTCTTTTATGTTTTTTCCCCATGTTCATTGGGTTTAAGGAGCTCTGGCAGTAAAGGATTTAAGCCCTTAGCTGCCAACCAAAAGGTCAGCAGTTCAAGCCCACTAGCTGCTCCACGAGAGACAGCTGAGGCACTTCACTTCTGTAAAGATTGACAGCTTTGGGAACCCTATGGGGCAGTTCTACTTTGCTCTTCCTGTAGGATCGCTGTGAGTCAGAATTGACTCAGTGACAATGGATTTTGTTTTTATTTTTTCATTTAGGAGCAAGCCACAGATTGCGGAGATTATCCGCAGTTTCAAAGGCCACGTGAGGAGGATGCTGCGACATGCAGAGGCCTCGGCGATTGTAGAGTATGCCTACAACGACAAAGCCATCCTGGAGCAGAGGACCCTGCTGACAGAGGAGCTCTATGGGAACACATTTCAGCTCTACAAGGTGACGGCCTGGGAGGCCTCTTTGGGGATCTTTACTCTTCTCCTGCTCCGTAACTTCCTGCAGTACCTGTGCGCAGAATGAGCTATTACATTGATGTTCAGGGGCCATCTCACAGCCATAGGTGATTTTATCTGTGGTGAGCAAGTGACCACACGGACCTGTCTCTGTCTCCCAGGGTCTCTCTTTACACCCCCTTCACACTGACTCACCTTTGTGACTCCCTTCCTCCCCATTGTGTGTGCTGGTTGGAAGGTGATCCAGGGCTGTCAAGCTTTTATTTTCAGTTGCCGTCTAGTTGACTCCAACTTAACGGCAGCCTCGTATGTATTTCTGTAGAACTGGGCTCCACAAGGTTTGCAGTAGCTGATATTTGGGAAGTAGATCACCAGGCCTTTCTTCTAAGACATCTCTAAATGGACTCCAACCTCTAGCCTTGGGTTAACAGCCCAGCATGTGAACTGTGTGCACCACCCAGGGAGTCTTAGACCAAGGAGGAAGACTGACTATTCATAGACTGCACTGGGTGGGCACTTGTTGCCTTTGCCCATGCTCATGTGTGGACTTCCCCAGATTAAGCCTGGAGATGAGGAAAGTTGACACCGACTCTTGGTGTAGCACAGAGATGAACTGACAAAGGCCAGTCATGGCACTAGGACACCAGAAGGATCTATTTCAAACCTAGGAACATAAATGCAAATATTTATCTGAAGAGATGTAGACTAATTCCTGGGTTGCTTCCCTTAGGTTCTGTTTCTCAGTTGAACTTGGAACTCTTTCCTTTTAAGAGTTCACCTCCTGGATGTCCAGGTGATTACAGATAACTTGATGAAAAGTGTGTGTGAGCTGACCACTTGGTCTAGGGCACATGCCCCGTTGGCTGGGTAAGTGAGTTTTTAGCCAAGACTTTAGCCTGTTACCTTGGAGGGTGTGCAGACAGAATAAGGTCATCAGGAATTACTCTACAAAGGTGTGCACAGCAGGGCTTTCATTATGCGAATACGAGAAATCTTCAATTGAAGTTTATTTAAACAATTTATAATTGATTTTTTTGTTCTAAATTTGAAGCATTGTTCTTGGTTAGTGGAAATGGTTAATGTGCTCAGCTATTAATCAAGAGTTTAGAGATTTGAATCTACCCAAAGGCACTTTAGAAGAAAGGCCTGGCTATTTCCAAAAACATCTACCATTGAAAACTTTATAGAACCCAGTTCTACTCTGGCACACACGG